GTCCGCACAGCCCGTCAAATTAGAGGCGAACAGATCATACATGTGCGGGGCGCCTGGAATTGGCGGGAAGCCGCGGGCGACTCAAAGCGGCTGAATGAGCTGGCAAGAGTACAGCAGCAGCAGCAGCCAGGAATCTGGACACCTGAATGGGATCAACCACCTCGGGAGGCCTTCGAGTCACACCACCCTGCAGAGAGAGGGGGGGGGGGGGGGGTCATACATGAATGACAGATCGGATGGCAACACTTGATACATCGGGGAGAATGCGAAGCTGCTGGGAGGAGGGGGGGAGGGGGGCGCGGCCCCTGCATGATGCAGAGCGGTATACAGAGTCACCGTTTTAGGTCGCCTGCTGTCTCTCTCTCTCCGTCTCTTTTTGCCGTGTACTAGACGCGGCTGACCGCCGGCCGGCGCGGCGCGTCCGGTTCACGCCGGCCGGAAGCGGGCGTTTACCCGCGCGCCGCGTACGTACGTACGTATACGTCCAAGAGGCACCCACTGATAACCTGTACTTTCGCGACAGAAACATCCCACCCGCGCAGCCTGGCCCGAAAAAAAAACGCTGAGTAAGAAGCAAGATAATACAAAAGAGCGCCTGAAAAACGTGGAAAACGTGAACACTCGGGCATACTATTTTTTTAATTTATTGATTTTTTTTGTTGCCTTTCCGCGAACGAGGTTTGGTTATCAAAGGCGAGATACACGGGCTCACGCCTGAAGCCTGTCGTGGACGGTGTGTTGATTGACGGAGCGGCACGACAAAGAGACACAACACTTTAACCACCTCTCGGCCTTCCACTCGAAAGTCACGCTCCGTATCCACGTGCGCCAACCCCTACAACCCTATAGGCCTCACCCCTCTCTATTGCACTTACGACTTACTCAGCTCTCTTGTGTTGTGAGTGTGAGAGGAGTGTGAGGTGTGTGTGTGTGTGTGTGTGTGTGTGTGCAGAAACAGGCTGGGTCCCAAGCGCGCAGGGGGCCCAGCAGTCCAGACCGCCCGCTGTAATTAATATAAGCTTTCATGAGCGTATCTATCGCCATTATCTATGCGTGCATGTACCATATTCATTCGCACAGCAGAGAGAGAGAAAGAGAGAGAGAGTGAGAGAGAGAGGAGGGAGAGAGAGAGCGAGCAAATATAACGGAACTGCATTATTCGTGTCAGATCAGGGCGTTTTAAACTACCGGGCAGATATACCACCTGGCGCCACCCTCGCATCCGGTCGGTTAAACAACCGAGACCGCGCGAGACTCACAAATGAAGTAATCCTTTTCGGCGGGCATTTTGCTGGTCATGAATACGGTAGAGTTATTATTGAATAACTCCAGTTTCGAAATCGTGTGTGTGTTTCAAAATCATCCGATGTGCCACTGGCTTTGCTAGGGCAGGTGCCATTCGCAAGTGCACCGATGTAGGATCAGAGCTGTCGCCGTATGGTCTTGGAAGGGACCCTTCGCTATACCAAATTCATGTCACGAAGGTGGCGGGTGCAAAAGGCCAGGCGGGGCCCCCGGACCTTAGCCGGGCAGCCGGCCGTTTGACACCAGAGATCAACAGATGACCTCCAACGCGATCACTGGGCCAGGCCGGGCAACAACGCCACGCCACTCCGCCGGCAGGACCTTCAAGGTCCTCCTGCTCTCAGCGCGCGACGCTCGGTCAGCCGAGCCTGGAGCGGCGGCGGCAGCGGCGGCAGGGCTGAGCAGGGCAGAGCAGATAATGGACCGGAAACAAACTTATCGCCCCAATAATGAAACTAACAGCGGGCACTGTATCGCTGGTGGCAGCAGGCGCGCGTGCCACCGTCAGAGTGACGTCACAGAACAATGTCGGTGGGTCGTCGTCGAGAGATTACATACCGTCGTGGCGACGTTGGGGCAATATTGGTACATGCGACACGTGGAATTTCAGTATGTGTCCTGCTGCCCGTGATTGTGTGTACAACGGTCGCCACTTATACGGCCCCGACCAAGGTTACGACGCGCACACCAAACACCGGTCATCATCGATGTCACGAACAGATTCCAGTCCGGACGTGCGGTATGCAGATCCCATAAGGGAGCCCCTCTCAGTGCTGCCGGCGCCGGAACTGGTCCCCCCCACCCCCACCCCCTCATCCCCCACCGGAAGGGCAGAGCGGAGGGCACGCGTAGCTCATCGGGATGGTCCAGTCTGTCCGTGCGAGCCGCGCGTAAGTGTGTGTTTCAGCAGTGTGCGTGCGTGTGTGTGTGTGTGTTTGCACAAGTGTGTGGGGGCAACGATCTATTTTCAAGTCGGTACGGGTGCTGCGACACGCAGCGGCAAACATAGCAACTCGAGTCAAGGCCGTTGCGCATACTAAAAATGCTTTCAAATACCAAATTATTTGCCACGTGGCAGATAATTTCCGATCAGCTCACATTACGAAGAAAATATTTTCAATCTGTCGTAACCCGTAACAGTTTGCAATTATTCAAAGAAAATTGTTCGCTATACGAACCCATGATAACACGAACAAATACCCAATAATTCTAGTATTTACCAAAACTCACGCGGATAGTAATAATTACTCCCATCCCGATGGATGACTGGTCGTGTTTACAAGACGACCGTTCCCGGTATCGCGTTTGCTGCTGTTTCATCCCCGGCCCAAAGCCACAGCCTCTGAGCAGCAGCCTCCCGCGCCTGCTCCGCCTGCTCACAGGCGATAAAGGGGAACTCGGTACGGCCCTAATCGACTTTTCCTCGAAAATAAAGCGAGCCGGGGGCCTTCGCTCGCGCGCGTCGCCTTATCAAGTCGCGCTTAGCTGGCTGAGGACTCAAATGCTCCCGGCCCCGGCCCCCCTCCGCCACCTCATTGGTTCAAACCGTCTTCATCTCGCCGTCCGTCACACTCCACAGGGGGCGCTCATCGACATAAAAGAAGCGACCTCCTACACGGCTGCTGTTGCGTTGCTGCTGCTGCTGACGCTGCTGCCGCCCCTTCAATTTTGTATTTTCTTTTTTTATTTTCGTACTCGGCTTTTATATTGTGTTTTTATTTTTTATATACTTTATTTTTTCAATGTACCCGGCTTGCCGAAAATGAGTTTCCATTCCGAACAACGCGCACCATATGTGAACAATAACGCCCGTGACGAATGCTTAATAGCTCAACACCGCGTCAAAATAAGAGTGGGGCCTCGACATGTGCGTGATGGATACGAGAGAGAGAGAGAGAGAGAGAGAGAGAGAGAGAGAGACGACCCACCGTCGTCGTGCCGCTTCCCTTCTACTCCCCGCTCTCCACGTGTGCATCGGATAAAGGTGGCCGAATCGGAACACATTCAAGGAGCTACGTGCATCGTTCAATAAGTTCCTGGAAGCAGCGAAACCCCTCCCCTCCCTCTCTCTCGCCTCCGTCTTTTCTGATTTGTGCCGCGTTAGGCGTGACAACAAACGCCACGAATGTTTCTCATAGTGTCTCATTCCTCCCCTGCTAAGAAACAAAGTTGTGGCTGCGAGAAAATAATTGCACAATTGTTGTGGCTGCGAGAAAATAATTGCACAATTGAAAAAATAATAAACAAATAAGTTATAAAAGATAGAAAGCCACGTGCTAGGTCCTAACAAGCTTAGCATCGCAAGCACACTACACACCCACCGCCGCACCACCCACACCGCCACGCCCCCAGTGCGTGGTGCCGCTTTTGTCAACACAAAGCCAATACCAGCCTGTTACTGATCGGCAAACTCTTTTTTTTTCCCTCGTCGTTTCTCTCCGCGTGCCGCGAGTACATGTGTTCTTTCGTTTTTCCCCGCTACCTACATCGTGCAGTATGGGTCGTTTCTTTGCAGAGCTGCACGCGCATGCACGCTTGATTGGGGCTGTCCTCCCGAACACAACATGAAACATGAAAATTTCGAAAACTACAGGTATTATTGTATGAATATGAATACGTAGCGCACTTTGTGCCACAACTCAACACTTGTTAAAACATTTAATTTTACTGGTACATTTCGATTCGTCATGTGCGTGTCCCCCAGCTGGGTGATTGAAACGACGGGCGACGCGGCGGCATCACGGCGTCATTCTAAGAGCGCTTTGCAGCCGTGCTGTTGCTGCTGCGGCAGCTCTACTTTTTATTTTCCTTTTTATTTCCGACGCGTTGTCATGTACGACGAAACGGTTGGTGATGGTGCGGGGAGGGAGGGGGGGATGGCGACGCCTTTTACCCGAAAATGAATACGCGGTGTGAGTCATGCGCAGGGGCAGCGGCAGTGATTGGGGGTCTCCAGCGCCATCACGGCAAAAACATACAGATTTGCGATAAGTGGTGCAAGCGCGCGGATCCGGTCTTTGATTTCATGCCTCCGGGCAGAGCGGTCCCCGATCGCGCCCGCGAGGCAGCAGCTGGCACCCCTTTTGCGAAGAAGAGAGACAGAGAGAGACGAAGAGAGAGAAATATTGAGACGGCATAGCTCTCAAACAAAATTGCAAAAAAGAATGGCAACGGGTCGTGTGACTGCAAAAGCCGCGCGGCAACACCCGTTTCGCCTTAAAACAGCCATTAAAATTTCGAACACGAAAGTCATGTTAGCAAAGCCGATTAAAAAGTGTTGGTAACCAAAGCGCAAACGACTTGAATAGGGAGCGGTTACCGGCGCGTCGTGACAAACAGTGATAATGGGGGCGTAAACAGCGACGACAAACATGCGATAACAGAGAGCGCCGTGATCGGGCGGATCGTGCCCGGCAGGAACGCCGGCATGTGGCGACGCCGCGCCCCGCGCCCGGCCGGCACACGCGCGGGACTACGAACCCCGCATTGTCATCCACTGCTTTGCTCTAACAAACCTCCAAAAGTACCACAAACATGTTCAAAGAAATAACTGGTCAGCTTGCCGGCAGCATCCAGACTGTTTTTTCCCCCGATGAATCACGGGATACAGGGCCCGGGGGTGACGAATGTGTCCACTGACCGCGACCGCACCCGTGACGGTGTGACGGTGTGGCTGGACGTGAGAGGGTACTGACCGTTGGAGCACACGGAGGACGTCTCGCCGGGCAGGCCGCTGTCGGTGCCCGACTCTTCGTGGTCGTCGCTGAGGTCCGCGTCCATGTCACCGTGGACGTCGTCCCGGGGATCCCTGGCGTGCAGGGACAGGTCCCGGGGCCCGTCGGACGACACGGAGGCCGGCGACGAGCACGGCGACCTCGCCGACCGGCTGAGGAGGCCGTTATTGTTGTCGCTGTTGTTGTTGTTATTGGCCAGGATGTCCGTGATCATGAACCTGGACCGGGGCAGCATGGCCTGGTGGTGGAGGGACTGGTGCATGATGTGGTGGTGCAGCGCCTCGGTCGAGTCGGCCGCAGGGCCCAGTGGTCCCCCCATCACGCTGGGGGACAGCAGCTTGGTGGTGGTCACGGCAAGGTCGTGGATGGTCATGGCTCCCCGCCCGGCTCCGGCAACAGCCCCTAAAGCCTCCAGAGCGCCCGGATGCAGTTTAGAAGCCACCTCGGTCACCATTCACACACTGGATGCACTGTAATCCTGCTGCACTGTCACCAACTCACTGCACACATCACTCGCACACGCGCGCTCGGGCGGTCGGACGGACGGACGCACTCGACACACGGCACTGCTGCAACTCCCCTTCCGACCGGCAGCGGTTCCACTGGCAGACTGAGCGGCCAGAGGCTCCGGGGCC